CCCCAAAACCCCAAAACCCCAAAACCCCAGAATTATTTAAAAAAAAATTTACAAATATGGGAGCCGGGTCTTTGTTGCTTAAGATCTCTCCCACACTATATTTCTTTCTTGTAAATTGAGTTTCATTTCTCTTTACTCGGATGATTCAGATTCTTCTAAGCAATCTTTAGCCCATTTCGAGAGAATTGTTATCGATAGTTTATAATTGAAACAGCCCTGGTAGAAAATTTGGGAAATGCAGACAAATTTTTGTTGAGAAAATGTGGCTGGCCTATTCAAAATTTATTTATATTCTTGGAAATCCTGAACTTATTCTTCAAATTTAGCAGACTTTATCGGGAATAGCTCAAGATGATTTGTAAACATCCAGGGAGGTATTTTGAAGAAGTTTCTTTTGATATTTAATTTGCTTGCCAAGGCAGTATTTTAATTTCGATACTTTCATCTTTACTAGTAATATTTCATTTCAAATATTATTTATTTGAGTAGATTTTCTCACTTGGAATTTCTAAAAGATACTGAATTTTTAAGGGCAAAATAACACTGTGTTCTCATTTCTGAGTAAAATATGACCCATTCGAACCCCAAACTCTGGTCCGATTATGATTTTGGTTCCAGATTTTATATCGTTTGGGATTTTCTTTACAAAATTCTGTTCAAATCTAACCACTTTGTTCTTTCCATCTGTTAGTAAGAACTTATAGATTCTAGAATTAGGCAATGTAGTACCTATATTTTTGAGATTTTTTCTTGCTTTGGTCTTCATCGCCAACATCAAGATATCTTGATTCAATATTTTCAACCTTTTGTTCCTCGATAGTATCTTCCAATCTTTAAGCTGGCTGACTTACTTGTTTTTCATCACTATCTTCTCTAAATAATTGGTTAGTTCACAAAATGTGAGCGATTTTGAAGAGATTATTAAAAATGTGGAAAACTTACAGATCAGGAGCAACATTATCTGGTCTTCTTATGTTCTTAGCTTTCATGATCTCTACCATTACATTCTGCTTGAAGCCCGATTTGGATCTGATAGTTTGCAGACTTCAGCAGTCAGAATTCATTTAGATTCCTAAATATTGTTACTGGTCGATTTAGGCAATGTTCTCAGATTGTGAAAAAAGCTTTAGAACATCTGTAGAAAGAATTTTGATTATCCACTTACATCAATAATATTACTCAGCTTTTCTTGAAACATTTTCTTTAAGACATACTTCATTCATGGTGCTGGGTGCTATGCATGAATAAACAAGAATTTGGCTCAAATAAAGCAATGTTGAGAGCATTTTTATTTTAAAACTAACTTACTTCCCCTTCAACTGAATCTCAAATCATTCATATTTCAAATAAATTTCATATTTATTTATTTATAAATTTTCCTTTGCAAATCTTGAACCTCCTCTCTTGGGTCAACAATAATAGGCATTTGTTCAGCTTCGTTAATGCTTAAATCTAAATAATCCCCCATTTTCATTGTTTAAAAATATTGAGTAAATCGTAGAAATCTCAGGATTTCACTAGGATTAATGGAACAGGGTTTAAAATGTTTGTTTTCCTCTCTACTTGTTATCCCTCTTAACTTCATCTGGCTATCAGTCTTAAAAATTCTTGCTAATATAAAGCCTCAGCAATATTAGACTTGCGCTTTATTCGCTTATAGCTTTGTATTAAATCTGAATGTGTTGATCTTCCAGAGAATCTGTGGATTAAGCAGTTTTGGGTTCCAACACTTATTTAGCTTCATCTTCTAAGAGAAAATTAGGTTGATGTTTCGTGAAGTTTATTAATGAATAATTTAATTCACTTTACATAGAAAAGAATTCAAAATTGTGATCGAAATGGGAGACAAAGTCAGGCAATATAGAAGGAAATATAGCTCCTTTCTAGAAGTTACAAGAACTATCGGAGGTATCTTCGAAGTCATTGAGATCATATTTGACTTCGCCATTGGGATCTATTCTTCATACATGTTCAAGCGAGTTCTTACGAAGTATCTCAACCAAGCTAGTCATGATGTGGAGCAGATTGAGGGAGTGCTTTAGGAGGGTAACCAAGAAGATTATAAGATAAAAGAACAATCGAGCAGATTAAGGCCAGAAGAAGGATAAGCAGATCAGAAAGTGCGGTTTTGTCTAATATATACATTAATGGTCTGTTGAAATGGTCGGCTTTATTTTCCAATATTTCTTTGATTTTTAGACTGAAAGAGATCGAATTTAAAGGGCACTGAATAGATGAAGAATCAAAACTAAATTATAGTTCTAATTTAATGATTGCTCAGTATAATTATTTCAAGTAAGCTTAATTATAGAACCTTTTAGAATAAAGATACTTGCAAGTAGCAAAGTTGAAATAAAACAAAAAGAGTCTTCAGCTTCCAAACATAAATCCATGCAAGAGAAGCTAATGCCATTTGAATCTGAGAAATTTCTTGATTACGATTCATTCAAAAACATTCTTGACTGAGTCCAAATTATCAAAGACATTAAAGTTCTACAACAAAAAGTGGCGTTTCTCATCGAAACGAGTCCAGTCTTGAATGGTCAAGTCACACTCACTCATGCTAAAAAGACACAGAAATAACTCTGAAGCCAGTAGACAGTAATCAGCAACAAGGGTACCCAATATGAACAAGAACTATACAATGGCCACTAAAACTCAGGGGAGAGATCCAAAGAGAAACCGAGTGTTTTCATTCCCAGACTATAAAACCTGTTCTTCCAAATAGCATTCGGAAGCCTCGTCTGTTTAAAAGTCCGAGTAAATTCAAAAGAAAAATCCTAAACTACAGAGCAGAAGATAGCCAAGAAGAAGGACCTAAACCTAGAGAAGACTTAGAAAAATTCAGTATTTATAATCTTGAATAATACTTTCAATTTTTGAATGATGACATGGGGTTTTGGGGTTTTGGGGTTTTGGGGTTTTGGGG